CTGTTTTGCACACTTTCTTCACGTCTGAGTATAGCTTGGGAAACCAAAGTCGAAAATATACAATAGATTTGTTTATGTTTCCTAAATAACCTTTTTCTTTGTAAATATACATATAGTACTTCGGATCATCATCAATCATGCTGGGAGGAAGCGTATTTTGACTCGATGTCAGGTACTTGCTGAACTTTCGATAGAGTTATGTCTAGTGGACATTGATCTTTCCCCTAACTGAATTTCTCAGTCGGGTTTGAATGTTTGACATACCCCGTGAACCGTGGTCTGTGTGCAGTCGTATCCAATCATACTGCATTCATCTTTTTTTAATGTCCTCTTAACTTGCCGACGTGCTTTGTTTTGGAGGTTTACCCGTATCTTGGAGAGGATAGGGCTGCGTCCATTTAGCAGGCGTCAGTAAACGCTGCCGTTGTCACGCGCATGTCATGTCAATCCTGATTCCCAACAAGGACGAGTCCAGCAGTCGTTGCTTAAACCAGCTGAAGGAAAGAGCAAATTGTGATTCTTGCAGGCCTTTGGCAGGTGCAGTCCACTGCTCTTTCTGAGGTCCACGTTTGTACAATTCATACGGTGGTGGAGAGATGTTCACCGGTCGTTTTACGGAACCCACTCGTCCCGTTGTGTCTTTGAACACTCTCTCGAGCCCAACCAGATGCTACGAGTAATATAGGCAGAAAGCATTAATGACTAAGACTAATAACTGTCAGTAGACATCGCCCAAGGAGTGTGCAGTTCAGCTAACTTTGCAGGTGTTCATAAATTGTAGACAGTTCGGTTTCACTTGTGAACTTTATGGAGGATCGGTAAATATACGGCACTTTTTGTGTCAAGACGTGGCTTAAGTCGGAGAAAATTAGAGGTCTCGCACCAGGCACAAACCATTTTGCACTAAAATTTGAACGATTCCTGCTATCTATGATTCAGTATCATGCATGTAAAGGAGCAAGTACAGACTAGGATTCTAATGCAATGCCTCAAGCGAAACGGGTTCCCTAACTCTTACTGAAGATTAAGACGCCATGCGAAACAAGCGATAATTCTTAATCATCTAGATGAATAGTAGAGTAATTCCAAAACTGCACAGTCTATTGTAGTAAAACAGAGGAAAAAATAACTTACGTTTCTCGCTGTGTACACGAATGCAGACCAGAATCAAAGCTTCCTCGGGACCTAAGTCAGTGCGTACGCGATCATTCGTCGCTATCTCTCAATTAAAGTCGATCGAAGCCTGATCGTTTGGTCCTACGTTCTATTGACGCGACAAACTCCCAACCAGCTAGACCTATAGACATAGGTCGAGAACCGCATAAATAAAACAAGTGACCTTCGGCCGATATCAGCAGGAAACTTGTAGCACTTGAAATCCACGATAGTAAACTGCTCTTATCAGTGCCTAAACAGTGACCAGAAACGTCAAGGTTTACTGATGACGTCACATACTGAGAAAATAACGGGGACAGATAAGGGAAGTGACGTTGTGTTTAAGGACAGAACCGGCAACATTTTACCAAGACGGGTATTTTGTCGGGCGGGAGAGGCTAAAAAGGAAGAAAATCGAACAGATGAGGCTACATCACAACAGACTGAGTGTTTGAAAAGACGTCGAGCAAATGGCCTCCTAAGCGGACACGACCTAGAGCGTCTCCACCCCGTCGACATGCATATACCTCGGTTATATGGCTTACTGAAGACGTATATAATGGAGCATTGATTCGTCCAATCCTTGACATGAGAACTTCGTCGTCCCATGCAATAACAAAATGGCCAGCAGAGAGACCCAAGCCCATACAGTACCATCTAGCACCACATAACTATGTTGTGTCGCAAGAGAATAGCCGTCGGACGGTCAATAAATTTAGGTCGCATTCCGACGTGCCTTTTATGATAATGTGGAGCAACAGCTTGCAGCTATCTCTGCCGATACTGTTGGCGACTTTTCATGCAATCATAGTAAATCGCACCTTCGTCAGGCCATTAATAATTATCTATCGATCACCTACATTGTATGTTGCGATTTGCGTCGTTTCTCGCAAAATTTATACATAACTCAAGCGCGCGTTTTGAATTTGGTTTCAAATTTTCGCCCTCCGAGGAATTTAGTTACTTCGAGATTTGGACTTACTGTACGCTCTTAGAGCCTGTCGGAATTAAGACTTGAATTCGACTCATCAATATCTTCCTCCCAACTAGTCTCCTGCAGCACATTCCCGGAACTCCGATTTCGGCCGTCCTCGTTTCTCATGCTTGCAAGCCCAGAAATTCGGATTATCTGAAGAACAATTCATCCAAATTTTCTACAATGGCTGAGTTGCTTTTTTACTAATAGACATTGTTTCATCATCGCCTCAAAGTATTTGTGTAAATTTTTGCTCTCGGAAGCTTCTCGACCATACCTTCTCATTCATCTAAGGAAGTTACTTTCTACCGAAAGATCGTCAGAAAAGCCTTTCCATCATAATTAAGACTACGCTCTTTGTGTATATGGAAAAGTAAGCCAGAATGTTGGAGTCTGCACTAGTGTTCCAAAGTAACGCGCACTTGGGATTCGAACCGGGGACCTCAAAAGTCAGAGCCCGCTCCGCTAACCCCTGCTCCACCGACGCACGGCTGGAGAGCTCAGTTAAAAGTTTTGTTAATTTGTCACCGCAGGATCTGGTAGAATATTCATGTAATGCTTGTCAAACGATAGCCTACAAGATGCATCAACTAGAGGAAGAAGTAAGAAATCTGAAGGAACTTATACACAAGACTGTTTCTTCAGAGAACCGCCCGGTGTTATCTACGCAGAGGCTAACTCGGAGTAGAGCGCGAGCCATCCAGCGTAAGGAATCCCCAGAAAGCAATTATGTGGTGAATAAGACAACAACTATTAGTAGTCAAGTCGTGGCTTCCGATGAAAAAAAGAATAAGAAGAAGAAGACGACACTTAACACCACAGGGAAAAGTCGCCAGAATACGAAAGAGAGTATATTAGCCTTACCCGAAAAGCCGTTGAAAAATGAAACGAATGTAAATGTGCCAACGGGAGAAGTGGAATTAATGGGGCAGATGACGCCCAACCTTAATAATTCCCAGACCGTGTTCTCATTTCCTGAGCCTAACTTAGGGGGATTATCAATTAGCGCAAAGACATATGGCTATGGACCCAGGGTGGAATTAGGAGCCACCGCGAATTCCCATGTCAACAGACTCAAGAACCGAGCTGAGGAAGCCTGTAATTCATAGGGGGTCGAGCTCTCCACAGAGCCCTCTGATGGGAGGCATTGTTGATAGATCACAGTGTGCAACTATTGACAATGCCTCAACAGGATCCGCGGACGAACTCCACGGGGACATAAATACCAATATGGCAGCCCCTTCCTCTTCTCCAGTCCACTTCGACGAGGCAATAGGGTCAGCCAACGACGTCCAAATCGCAGAAAATAGAGGAATGCTTAACACGGACCACTGTGTCATAATTCAGGGTCTTCCAGAGTCCTCCGCCAGTACCCCAGGGAACGAATCGCTGCTGACTTAGAGCAATTCCAGAAACTCCTAAATGAAATGCTGCAACCAACAGAAGATGTCACAGTCCTAAAGGCGTTTCGTCTTGGTAGCCGTGCAAATGCCGCTCCGAAGACGCGACCAAGACCCCTGAAAATCGTCCTAGGTAGCAATGTGCAGGCGAAACTAATCCTTTCCAGGCGTTCTCGATTGAAGCATTCCCATTAAGGAGTGTTTTTTCAGCCGGACTACTCACCTGCCGAGAGAATGAAACGCCGCGAACTTGTCCTAGAATTGAGAACACGGCAAACCAACGGAGAAAAAAACTTGACAATCTACAAAGACCGGATTGTCAGACGACATTCCGCCCCCCTTTGGATCAAGCCGATCCGAATGAACGCAAAGCCCGTGTCGGGGTTGAAAACAAATCTCGCATGAACTCGAAACTCATATTCATGTATACCAACGCGCAAAGTGTACTTTCAAAACTGGACGAACTCCGTATCCATACCTATGACCTCCATCCAGACGTTATCTCAATAACTGAAACATGGTTGTCCGAACAGGTTGATAATAGAGAGCTAGTGCTCCCTGGATATAAACTGTTCCGCCGAGACAGAGAAAACAGAAGGGGTGGAGGCATAGTAACATTTGTTAACAATGGCTTGCGCGTTTCAGAAATACTGCCCAACTGACTTGTAGCACCGAAGCATTATGGCTGACCATAAGGGCACCGGGCTCTCAAAGTCTCGATATCTTGACAGTATATCGCCCACCGAAAAATGACCCTGACGCTGATGCCCAACTGCTGGAGGAGCTCAGATTATTTTCAACGCAGCCGACTGCTCTCATCGTTGGAGATTTTAATGCACCTCACATCGACTGCAGCTCGGCCTCAGCCGACGGCTCTGAAGCAGCATTTGACCAGCAGCTACTGCGTACCTCCAACAACCTGCTTCTCACACATCACGTAATGTTTCCAACGAGAGTTCGAGAGGGCCAACAGATGAACTGCCTCGGTCTTGTGTTCACCAAGTCGTCGACAACATCGAAGTTGTGAATTGCCTCCCCCCAGTTGGGTCAGAGTGACCATGTAGTTCTCATGTGGGAATACACATTATTCGCCCTTTCTGCACAACCGCTCGATTCCCCACCTAATATTTGTCGCGGCGATTTCGAACAGATGAAAAAGGATCTTAGTCCTATCGACTGGGCATCCGCTCTCTCCGGCGATGTCGACGAGGCTTGGTGTCAGTTTAAAGAGTTAGTCCACAACCTCATCTCCAACCACTGCCCAATCATGCGCAGAAGACTAACAAATAGACCTCGCTGGTTGACTCCGTCATTAAAGAAGGAAGTTAACAAGAAGAGGAAGCTATGGAAAAGATCGCTGACGGATCGCACGCCAGAATCCCTAAGCAGTTATAAGCTACAGAGAAATCGGGTCAAAATTCTCATCATCAGAGATAGGAACTTTTGAAAAAAATCTTTTGGACCGTGCCATGGTTAATCCAAAAATCCTTTACAGCTACACAATACAGAGCACACGGAACAAAGATCCTGTCCCACTGCTGCGAACGGCTGAGGGTGTGGAAATCTCCGATGACAAGGATAAGGCTGAACATCTCTCTCAGTTCTACCGATCAGTCGTGACCAGTGAACCTGGTTTTTCCTCACCCGCATATGAAGACGAAGAAACGCCTACCCTCGAAGCCGTCTTCTTCACCGAAACAATTGTTCGGAATGAGTTACTAAACCTAAAAGAATCGACCGCCCCAGGCCCTGATGCAATGCCGGCCAAGCTGCTGAAGGAGCTAGCTCCCGAAATGTCCAAGCCGTTAGCCTTGATCTTTCAAACGTCCTTCGTTACTGGATGCCTGCCCTCTGACTGGAAGTCCGCTACCATCACTCCGATTTTTAAGGGTGGAAGTCGTGCATCTGCGAATAACTACAGGCCAGTGAGTCTTACCTCCATCTGTTGCAAAATCATGGAGAAGATCATTAAGAAGGCCTTGATGCAGTTCCTCGAGCAGCACCATCTCCTTTCCGATGCCCAACACGGCTTTCGAAGTCGTAGGTCCTGCCTCACGAATCTGCTCTTTACGCTTGAACGCTGGACCAAAGCACGTGATGAAGGCAATGTGGTGCACGCATTCTACATCGACTTCAAAAAGGCTTTCGACAGCGTTCCTTACCAACGTCTCTTGTACAAACTGCGCAACGCTGAAATTCGTGGACGCCTTCTTGTATGGATCCAGAGCTTTTTGGCTCGACGGTCCCAAATATTGCAGGTCGGGCGTCAACAGTCCTCAGATGTAAGCGTGGTGAGTGGCGTCCCACAGGGCTCAGTCTTAGCTCCCACGTTATTTCTCGTTTTCATAAATGACTGCGTCAAGGACCTAGACTGTGATGCCATCCTGTTTGCCGACGAAATAAAATTGTGGAAAGTTATTCACAATGCGGCAGACGCAGACCACCTGCAAGCAAACTTGAACAGGCTCGAAGACTGGTCGAAGCGCTGGCTTATGCCCTTCAATATAAACAAGTGTAACTTTCTTCAACTCGGCGGCTTCAGAGCCCCCAGCTCCAGGACCTACTTTTTACACGGCACACAACTGCAACAGGTTGACAGTCAGAAGGACTTGGGTGTATGGATTACATCTTCACTCAAACCAACACTGCACTGCGCGAAGGCGGCTAAATCGGCTACGGCCACATTGCAACTCATTAGGCGAACATTTATGGGATTTGGCCCTGACTGCTTTTCCAAAATATGTGGCACCTTCGTGCGACAAAGGGTAAGTAATTGGGCAGACTCACGAAAAATAAACGGTTAGGTGGAGCCTTGCAATTCACACGGGTGTCCAGAATCAAACATGTGTGCACGCATGGAGCTGTGTGTAAGCTTAGCTTCACGTTTTCTCAGCTATGCCAACAGGTGTTCTCGTATTCATGCGGATTGGCGGCGCCCAATATAGCTTGTTCTACAGGAGCAAGTAGATGAGTAAATGCACGTGGAGGTGGTCTGGGTTTGTAGCTCATCCTTACCTTCCCCGGTAAGGACGGAGTTTGTCGAAAACAATACTTAAATTCTTGTTGCTCGGACGGTCGATGAAAGGGCTTGGTCAAGGTGCCCTCTAAGGAGTCCACTGGTCACGTCTCCTTTAATGGGGACATTGAGGAACAGCGTTTTTTCGGCCGTCGGTATAATGAGATTTGTCGGTCATTTAGCAGGATTCCTGTTCTCGCGAATCAGGTGCTAGATTCTAAGATGTTTGCCAAGGCTATCAGCCGAACAGATTTTTCTAGCGTGGTGGGTTTGTCTAAGATATTTGTCCTTGTTTGAATGACATACCGTTGGAGAATAGGCAGCCGGCAATGACAGTTAGAAATTCGGACAGAAAAATGATTTTTGGGAACGCCTCAAAAAGAAAAAAAAGAAAAAAATTCACTTGTCTGGAAATACAATTCCACGCGTAAACTTCCAGTATTGATTTAACAAAAGGAAATGTTAGGAGTTTGTCAAAACAATCAAAGGTGTGAGTTCCAGGAACTAGTTGATAAGAAGAAGAAGAGGAAGAAGAAGAAGAAGAAGAAGAAGAAGAAGAAGAAGAAGAGGAAGAAGAAGAAGAAGAAGAAGAAGAAGAAGAGGAAGTAGAAGAAGAAGAAGAAGAAATTGCTTGAACAAGGACTTTCTTTGCCTGACGTTTCGAATTCTTACTTGAGACTCGTGCACTTGACTCGTGCACAAGAAGTTGCAGTATTTATGGGGTGCATTCGCTATGATGCCGCATACCTATGGTAATTTACCGCGCTCCCCTTCATCGAGAATCGTTGCCCGCTGGTGCGCTAATTGCTTGATGACCAACATGTAAGTTGTTGAATACTGGAATCTCATCAACCGTGTTGGAGGCTGGCGTGATGATTGCTCGGCCATCTGGCTCACCGACTTCCGTGCTTCCCGAACGTTCAATTAGTTTGGCCAGCCTATGCCTCAACACGGAATATGGAACGGGGATGTCATTGCACCTGTTGATAGACTGAGATCCCGTGAAACATGACTTAAACAACTCGCGGTTCACGCGATTATCATCTCTCGCGATAATTGTGGCGTCATCAGTTTTGAATGTGTGGCCGGGTCTCGTCAAATGGGCCGCGACCTGAGAGTTGGCGTCATTTCTCCGCATCGCTGCCGCGCACTCGGCAGTTGGCGTCCGGAGCAGTCTTCTAATTTCTCCTGCGTAGTTGCTCCTTCTTCTTCTTCTTGTCAATGTTAACGAAGTCAGGAAGCAACAATGCTGGCCGACGCGTTCTAGGCAGCACGCATTTGGAACTCCAACATGTGCATCGCCGTTCGCAGATGCCGTCTTGGAGAAGTATAGGTCCATATGCATGCGTAGTTCTGGTGGGTGCTGATATGTAGCCTCGTTTAAAAGCAGAATTTAGGCATGAATATGTTGGAGGACCTTTATGCGCTTGGGCTCAATGCGAGGTGACAGCATTATTCACTTCTACTAGTGATCAATTTTGCCTCTTCAGAAATTAAAATTTGATGCTGATTATATTTTAATAACCACAAAGGTAAGGAAATTGAGGTCTTTTAAAATTCGGTGAGAAGGTTGCACATGGAAACATAAGGCAGGTTCATCGTCATTGGGAATATCTGTGCGAACAGTATATGTGAGGGATACTATAAGTTAGTCGGCAGCTGGAACTGAAGAAAAGTCATTGGAAACACGCAAGCAAAATATGACATAGGGCTTCGGGGTAAAATTCATTTCCCTGGAAATAACGCCTCCGTGAATAGTTATAGGGATATATTCCGGGTAGGAAAATATCAAGCAATTCAAACGACATTTTAAGCCTCATGAAGTAAAACGTCAGTTATATAATAGCTGTGTTCGCTAGACGGAGAATGAGACGAAGGGGACCACCGTAAGTGGTATACCGCATTAGTAAGCATAGAGAGAATGTGCACTGATCAAGCAGGCATGCACCGAACAAAGGCACCAACGACTACGCGCCAAGCTGACCCACGTCGAAATCCCGTAAGTGCGGATTGGGAGGTCATAACGGAAGCAGAAAATCGCGTTTCCTTCTGATGGAAAACCAACAGCCATGGTAGAATCCGACGACAGGTAGCTAGAAGGAAAGTAATTAGTCACAGCAGGAGAACTCAGCCGTAGCACTGAGGCAACCTGGTTGGAGGTCGCTGCTAGCCGAAAAGCAGAAGCCCTACACTACAGGTATGCGTAATGGAGCAGCACGCGTAGGTTAATGAAGAGCTAACCCGCGGTTAGAAATGACGGTGTTCTTCTGCGAAGAACGCCACAAACCTTGCAAGTCATACGCAGTTTATGGACGAAAGGGATATGAGGAGAACTTTGAGAGACACGTCATGTGTGTCCAAACATGTCACTTTGTCGGGAAAGGTAAACTGACTCCTTTCTCTTTCATTCATTCGTGTGATTTTCTCCTGCTAGTATTCCCAGCCTTTTTCAGCGTTGGTGAGGATGCCTCTAACTGAGCTTTATTTTATCTTATAAAAGGACAGCCATTACTCATCTGCTATTGCTTTTTTATTTTTTGTTGAACAGGGCTCCGATAATTACTTCAAAATATGTCCGGAAACTACGGATCCGTGTCTCAAGATAGAGCAAATAAATGGGACCTTCGATGCGTTCAATAAATGCGCCCTTAGATGTGACGGCTGGCCAAAACGTAAGTTGTTATATTTTTAATGAGATTTTCAACGACGAGACACATAAAAGGGCCCGTCGTTGTTACAGATTGGTTTTTTTTCTTAAAGTAGAAAACAACTTGGAGGACTCCACAATCTTCTGTCCTCACGAAGGCTTTTGTGTAACCGCCAAATACTTCAGCCGTCCAGAAGCCGGAAATGCGTTCGCTGGTCTGAAGACATGCCTCAGCAATTGCATGTCAGGTGATACCAGATATTCGGTTTAAAAAACACAGCACATTGTGTGGCTACGTTTGGAACTGAACTGTAGCAGACCATCAACTGCCCTCGAAAATTCATATTGATTTATTGGATGATATTAAATATGGCTTTGTTTAAGAGATAAGCAACATGCCGCTATGTTTTCAAGTTATTGACCTTTTCAGAAACCGAATTACGCACTCCAAAGCTCGCTTTAACCAGTTGTCTGCTTGTACCTGACATTTTTGTTGTGAAGTGCCACATAACTGCCGTTGCATATTACCATATTCAAGTCTTCATCTGTTGGTTGCGTGTCTCGAAGAAATGTCTCATATGCCGTTAATGGACTTGGATTTTATCGTATAATATTCTAATTAAGTAATGCGACAATTTTGCATTCATTGTATAATAATCATTTACGACAAATCGTGGTTGGTTGCTGAAATCCTACGATTTGTTTAAATATTCCGGTACTCTGGGTGTTTACGAAAGTTTAAAAATTAAGGTATGGGTGTCACATTGAAATAATAATGGTCATATATGCTTTGGTCTTCTTATGTTGTGTTCGCTATAACCGAAGACGTAAACATGGGCGGACCCACCAACGCGGTCGAAACCTGCACAAGTATTTCCAGCTTCCAGTATTCGATGGCTGGATCAAACTAAAAAGTGAATTTATGCTCTTGGAGAAAAGACTATTGACATCATTTTTTCTACTTATGCCGAGGAATTTTTATGGATTCGGAAATACCACCCAGCGCCAATATAAGAGGTGTACATCCACTAACTGTGTTATTTATTGGAACTGAAGTGTCGATAGACCATCTATTTTGTTGGAACATACCCTAACATGTCTTCCAACTTCCCTGAAATCAGTTCCCATTAGACAACCCCAGCACTCGGTACTTTCTTCGGAATTCTTATTATGAGCCAGCGGATAGTATACGTATTGCGAATCGAAAGATGTTAAAATTATTATCGGTGGTATCTAAAGATGCAGTCAGCAGTTTAAAGAATTTGAGACCTCATTTGACAGACTTGTAAACAAAAACTTGACGGTCTCAGTGGGAATCGAACCCATGACATCAGGTTCATGCTCGAGTACAGCCAAAACCCTAGGAAAGTGGACTGCGTGACCCCACTGGATGCTCAGATTTAATAGCATTGTGTCGCGTTTCCCGCTCAAACGTATGTAGTCTTTTCAATTGAATAATCGGAGTACAGGTTTTTCTGAGCAATCAATCTAGAATCCACCAGCCAATTGCGAGGCCTGCTTTACTGTTGGGGGATTTTATGAGATTTGAATGGTTCAACTGACCCATTGCCCCCAGTGCGCTGTATGCAAGCCCTTAAATTTAGGTCGTGTGTTCTAATCTATGCAACGAAACCAATGATGGGAAAATTTTGCTAAGTGAAAATTGGTTTCAAATTATCTAGAAGGTCAATTAATTTGCGCTTTAAGTTAGGACACTCTGTAGAAATTTGGATGTCCTCGGTCCTCTTCCGCCTATATGTAAGGCGGATATGAAAACGGCGTTTCAATAATAATTGGTGGAAAAATAGAGACAAGTGCAGACTTACTTAGACAAGATCCTACGAGGCCGACACGTACTATTAAACGCTTCGTCGGATACACGAATTGACGACAGGTATTCAGAGGGCCGTACCCATAAATATCGATACGGTTTCACACAAACGTTGCCACTGAGGAGAAACGCAATTCGTTTAAAACCTCACAGCGGTTTGAGTTCATATCTTCTGCGGGTGACAAAGAGCCATCATTGTCGGGACAATGAAATAATCATGGTCCTTGAGATTGCCAGATCTTAGCGACCAAGGCAGTGAAAGACTGATCGTAGACTGCCTACTCTTCTAACAGTCGGTTGCCTCAGAAAATGCAAACGGGTCTGTAAGAGCATCATTTAACGCAAGGTCCAGGGACGCTGCCTGCATAATTTACTATTTTATCATCCGACTACTCACCCCCAAATAGTACCGAGAGGGCAGATTTACACATTAAAGTGTCGTCAAATCGCGCAATACAGTCGAGCGGTGTTCTGCAAGAAATGAGCAGTTTCTCCGTTCATAGAATCGGAGATGTTTTTGTTGTGCATTGTTGGATGACGCACATCAATGACGTGATGGGATGTATAATCTGCCGTGCAACATTGCATGGATAAAAAACTGTCGCATACATATCACGCATATTCATTGCGCATGTTCATAAGAATACCACTCCTGGCATTACCAACTCAATAACCTCTCTCGTAACTAAACTAGACGAATTCGCATGCGATAATGCCACATTCCGCCTGTTTCCTCAGTCAGATGAATAGCATTTGACAGTTGTCGATTCATAGCAGTGGCTATACACCGCGAAACCAAAAATTATAAAACGCACGCTTAGATCCCAGGGCAATGGCAATTTACTTGAAGACCTAAAACCTGCAATCGAATGCGGTGAAAGGAAGACACCTATGATGCCGGTCCCGTGAATGTTTGCGCGGTGGTTTGTGTTCATTTTGCAGGAAATAAGAAAGAAGCAGTTCTTAGTTACAAGAACGCGCCGCAGAAGCAGTCGTACTGTTGCAAACGAAGCTCATTCTTTGCTAACAGCTTGAGCTTTCGTTCGATGCTAATAAACAGACTTTTCCTCAGATTACCGACCCGGATCTCTTATTTTTGCTAACCTAAACGTTGGTTTCTGCCTAGCATGA